TTTGTTGATGATTTTGTGATTTAAAATGGCTCCCAAGTGTAACGCTGAAGAGCTGTCTAGTGTTCCTAAGTTTAAGAAGGCTGTGGTAGTGCTTTACAGAGAAAATACCCATTAGATAAGCTTCTTTCAGTATTGGTGTGTTCTGTGGTAGTGAATCAATAGAAAGACACAAAACAAAGTTATGTATTGATCAGCTGGTAAAAATGTGTCCAAAGGCTCACAGGAACCTAACCCCGTATTTCTTCTAGGAGCAGTGGTTCAGTATTTGCTAATTCCATGTTTGCAGTGATTTTACAGAACTATAAGAATTGACTGTTTTTTTATCTTAACATGAAATAGACTAATTATCCTATATAATAAAACCCTAATATGTAAATCAACCAAACAGTGAAACTGCACACTGACCCCAGGGGGCAGATGCTCAACGCAGGAGCTACCCTCTGGAGCGCCGCTCAGCCAGAAGCTCGGCTCACAGCTGGTGAGTGCAGTGGCGGTGGCGAGAGCCTCTCCCGCCTCTGCTGCAGGCAGGTGGTAAGGAGCGAAGGGGTCCAGGGAGTGGGCCTAAGCTGGTAATCAGACATTCCCTGAGGGGTCCCAGACTGCAAGAGGGCAAAGGCCGGGCTGACGGACCCTCCCCCCCGCCCCCCCCCCCAGTGCATGAAATTTCATGCACCGGGCCGCTAGTGTTCTTATAAGAGTAAGTATTGTTTTCAAGAAAGAAATATCTCTGTTTTGAGTGAACAAATAATAAGAGGTGATTTCATCACAAAATCCGTATTTACACCAAAAGTATTTATTTCAAATACAAAGACTTATTTTTGTGTTTAATTTTTATTTAGTTTGAAACTCTTTGCCTAGTCAGTGATTCCACTATGCAGCTTAATTTTTTGACCAAGTAATTGACACAAATGACAAATTTTAAGAGTTTGAAATCATGTAAGAACTCAGCATGAAACTCTCATATTTTCTCTCTCTTTTAGAGCCAAATGTTGAAGCTTACTAATGATAACATAAGGCCCTGTTTCATGCCATTTCTATTGACACCACCATAAGGCATGCTGAAGTTCAAAAACATTTTGTGAAACATAAGGCAGGATTTTGTTTTTTAGGTTTTGGTGGTTTTTTAAAATGTAGTCATTGATATAAAAGAATTGCTTTTATGAAGGGAACAAATAACCATGTCTAAAATATCAGAGGATGAAGAATTATGTAAATAAACCTTACCATGCTAAGCAAGTGTCAACATGAACAAATGAGATTATTTGGTGTACAGAACATGAGGACAATTAAGCATCATTAAATATATTTTACCAAAGTACTCATCATTTTTACTTTGTGAAAATATTATTTTGTCAAAACAAAGTAATAGATAATATCTTAGTGGCTATTAGCTGTGGAATGAAACTTTATATGCATTATCTCATCTAATACAACAGCCTTTTAGGCTCTAAGTATTATTTTTTACATTATATATGAAGAAACTAAAGTTTAGAATAATCAAGTAAGTCCCCCAAGGTCCTGTAAGTAATAACCAGTGGAGTGAGGATTTAAACTCCCCTGTTGGACATCAGAGTCCAAAACACCACTCCATCCATGACTTGCTTCACAATGTCTGCAATGGATATCATGTCTTTTTGAGAGTTTTATCACTTTTCTGAGAGTTCCATTCACATTCCACATCCTTCTCACCCTAAGGAAGGTTGGGAGTGGGGTGGAACACTATAAACACCCTTTCCTTTCTCTATCGGATAAACTTATGATATTAATCTTCCTCAAGTGGTTTATTGTACTGTGTTCTTGCCCAGTATCAACAACTGCTTTAAAAGAAAAATGGAGTCCCAAAAGGGCAATTTTCAGTATTATTTAACAGTAGGAGAATAGAAAATGCCGTTTTCTTTGTCTGAATTATGTGTACATGAGCTTAAAACTTCCCCTCTCCCCATCAAGTTTTTTTGTGTGTGTGTGGTTTTTTTTACTTTTTATTTAAGAACCAGCTGCTGGCTTTACCTCTTTCTACCTGCCGGATGCTTTCTGAATCACATTCAGCGCTCAACTTTAGTGATCCCCATTAAAGTCCAGAGCCTAGGGAAATCACCCTGAGTCTGTGTTTCCTAGCAACATCCCTGAGAGGAACAACAGCTGCTTAACCATATGCCACTGGAAAGATGCTGTAGGGGAAATACACAGAAATTGATACTAAATGCCTTAAACCTTGAGACCTCAAATACCATAGTTACCATGTTTGATTTCTTTACCTTTAGTTGTGCTAAGGTAAAGAGACGAATAAGTATAAGTATCTAAAATGACAGGCTACATGAGCTTTAGCAATCAATGTGATTTCTAGATATTTTCTTGCTAAGATTAATGCAGAAATAGCCATGATGAAAATACCTTTCTTTATAATCTCAAAATGTTAAATATGTATCAAAATTAAATTATCCATTGGGTGAACTTAAAATTCCTTACAAATTTATGTTGATATTCTGTATTTTTCTGTGTTATTTTATTTTTGTTTTGTCTTTTCCAGGATGTCATAATTAAAGTCATGTTACATATGACTTTTTAGATTGGTTTCTTTCACTTAGTTATATGCATTTAAGTTTCATGCATGTCGTTTTATGGCTCGATAGCTCATTTCTTTTTTGTAGTAAATATTCCATTGTTTGGATGTACCATAGTTTATCCATTCACCTATTGAAAGACATCTTGGTTCCTTACAAGTTTTGGTAATTATGACTAGAGCTGCTATAAACATATACGGTAAAAGCATGTTTAGTTTTCTAAGAAACAACCATATTACCTTCTAAAGCAGTGGGTCTCAACCTTGGCTGCACATTAGAATCACCTGGGAATCTTTTTAAAATCCTGATTTCTGGGCCTCATCCTTCTAGAAATTCTGTTTCTTTGTTACTAATGTTGTGGCCCCACCCCATAATCAAAGAAACAGAATTTCGAAAGAATGAGGCCCAGAAATCAGGATTTTAAAAAGATTCCCAGGTGATTCTAATGTGCAGCCAAGGTTGAGAACCACTGTTGTAAAGTGACTGTGCCATTTTGCATTCCCACATACTTGCCAGCATTTGGTGTTGTCAGTATTTTGGATTTCAGTCATTCTAGTAGATGTGTAGTAGTAGTTATCTCTTTGTTGTTTTGATTTGTGATTGCCTAATAACGTGATGTTGAGCCTCTTTTCATATGCGTATTTGCTATCTGTATATCTTTTTTTTGGTAAGGTGGCTTGAGATCTTTTTGCTCATTTTTAAGTGGGTTATTTGTTTATTTTATTGTTGACTTTTAAGAGTTCTTTGTATATTTTGGATACCAGTCCTTTATCAAATAAGTGTTTTGCAAAGATTTTCTCCCAATCTGTGGGTTGTCTTTTTTATCTTAAGATTCTATAATAAAAATAAGAATGTAATCACTGTAGCTTAATCACGAATAGAGGAACTGCTACAATTCTTGTGCTTTGTGTTGTAGGGAGGAAAGATTATCTTTTGTGGTTTCTTTGCAAAAACAAATTTCCTCACATTTTAAAATCATTAATATGTTTTTTCTCTTTGTATCCCCATCCCTTAATAATTTAAGCTCCTGTAAGTGTAAGCAGTTCACTGTAAGAAGGAAGAGTGAAAAATTATGCTGGATTCTTTTTTTGTTTTCATCAATAAGTGATCTGTTATAATGGCTATTATCCAAATAATAGCTAGTAATTCCGTAAATGTACATGTGAGTCATGTGTTTATAGATATTGAAAAAAATATCTTTGACATCTTTTGAAATCCTACTCAATTTTCAAATTGTTCCTGATAATTTTCATAAGTTCGGGCCACACGTGGATTTTGTTTCTTGGTTTTGTTTTTGCTTTTGTAATCTTTTGTTAGTCCTTATTGTAAACAGCTAATTAAAACAAACCCATATTTTAAGGTCTTGCTATGAAATTTAGTTTAATGATTTTAGACAAAAATCAATTTTCCCCCAAACTTTGAAATATGCACACATTCTAGTAATCAACTTGGGTTTATAAAACAAGAATATTTTGTTAGGAAAAGAGATCATGAAAATAACTTATATTAGTTAAGAGCTCTTTCTGATTTCATTTTTCGTAATGATTTATTTGCCTAGGAAAAGTTACTTATTTTAAAGCTAAGATCAAATGTAAAGTCTGGGCCATTAATTTTCTATATGTTTATATACGATGAAGTCCAATATTTGCAACAGATAAATGTGGAACTGCTCTGGTTGGAGGTCAGTGGGTGGAGTGGAGGAGACGAGCACACTCCTGTCTGCCTTTCCCAGTTATCTCTGAGGAATCCATACGCCTGTATGGAAAAGAACTGGAAAATTAGTCTACATTATTATTTTTACTTAAAGCAACAACAAAACCAAATAGTCATTATTGAGCTATTTATCATGGAGTTCTAGGTGTCTAATTTATAAGGTTTCTGAATTAGACTTCAGGGCCTATGTTACATTTTATTACAGTCTACAACATAAATGTAGACTGGCAAGAATTAAACTAAAAGCCTGTTTCACAGCTGTTATGCATCTGGGAGTTTGGTTAAAAGGGGCTAGCTTAGCTTAGCCTGAGTTGTGATAAAAAGCAGGGTCTAGAGGCCTTTTAACTCAAGTCCTGTGCTCTGATCAGAGCTCTATTTAATACTGGCCCATAAGTCCACATAATTATAATTTGTAAGAGTCTTTAGGACACCAGTAACTTTTAAATCTCACCATGTGAAAAATTATTATGTCACCTGTGGACTTTAAAAGTAGTTAGCAAACTGGGATAAAGGTGATAATCAAACCAAATATTTCTGAAACTTTCTCTGTCCAAGTTTTCTACGTATGATGTACCAGCTATTCTTTGTAATATATTACTCCTTAATATGCTTTCATGAGGAATGTTAATTCTGATAAATGAATGCTTCATGTCAGAGTAGTTGTACCACTGGGAAACCCAGGTTCCCTTTTCAATTTAACCTTTTTACATTTTGGCTTTCTCCCAGGCTTGCAGATGGGTCAGGGTCTGTGGAGAGTGGCCAGAAACCAGCAGCTACAGCAGGAAGGCTATAGTGAACAAGGCTACCTCAGCAGAGAGCAGACCAGGAGGATGGCTGCCAGCAGCATTTCTAACAGCAGTCATCGTAAACAAGTCCAAGGAGGCATTGATATATATCATCTCTTGAAGGCAAGGAAATCTAAAGAACAGGAAGGATTCATTAATTTGGAAATGTTGCCTCCTGAGCTAAGCTTTACCATCTTGTCCTACCTGAATGCAACTGACCTCTGCTTAGCTTCATGTGTTTGGCAGGACCTCGCTAATGATGAACTTCTGTGGCAAGGGTAAGTTCAACTCAGATATCTCTAAACATAATCACCTTAATTGTTCTTTTTATGCTAGTTATATTTGTATTATGAAATGTTTCTTTCAACCAGAGTTGTTCTTTATTAAAACCTGGAAAATCAAGATACAGTTATCATCACAGTCAAATTTGATATTAGGAAAAGAAGGGCAGTATAAAATAAAATAATGAGTTATAATTAGAAGAGAGGTTATCAATCAAGATGCATCAGTTTATTTTAAGTCAAAAATTGTCAGTTTATTCTAAAAATACAGGTTGTTAAGTGAGAATTTATAATCCAAAATTTAGTGTTCACAACCCTGGTATAGTTTGTGCTTCCCTTATAAAGAATAAGTATACTTAAAAATCAATAAATATTCTTCAAATCTTATTGTTTCCATTGGTTACAGATGGAGTATGGCTGTGGTTTTTTCTCATATATTTTTTTTTGGTCAAGGTGCTTATTAGCATAAATTTTAACTGGTGAATATTTCACCTACTTTTAATTTTTTTCTAACCATCATGTAATCAATGAAGTAGGCAAATATTAGAAAGCAAAGAGATCATCTACTTGCTGAACTGAATGTAGATTATAGAAATTTTAACAGCTATTATGCCAGTTTAAATTTAAGCTATAAATCTGAGAATGTTTGGTGGAATACAATCTGCTCTATGGAATCTACATTAATCCTTAAAAAGTACATATACTAGAGTTGTGAAAATATTCTCAAACATAGGAGAATCATTGGTTTTTCTAGCATTCTTTACCAAGATTTGTTTCATTATTTTTAAAAGGGACTTCATAATGATATAAAACATATCTAAAAACAAGTCTTTATGAGACTTGAATTTCTAAATGAAAAGCCAATTGAGAGAATTAATAAATTATCTAAATAGCCAATCTTTAGTCAAAATGTATTACCAACAATGACATTCCTCACTCAGGCTTCCAGATGCAACAGAATTACAGTATTAATTAAATAGCTCAACCTCTTAACCTCTAAATAGATATAAATCATCAGTATCATCTTGTCGTTCTCTCATTGTCTTGTCATAGTGAAGGTACTATGGAAGTGAGTAAAAATTATATTAATTAGTAATGTTTAAAATAAATTATGTTTATTAATTTTTAATGATTTAGTATAAGAGGAAATGAAAATACTTTAAAACTTGCTCATTTTATTTATAATCTCTTTTCTACATTTTAGTAGTCCCAGCAAACTTATGTTCTTATCTGTGAAAAAAAGTTTATAACTAAGCTCATCTGAATGAACTCAACCAGAAAGTAGTTTTCATTTGTGATTTAAATCTGGATTGATCATTTTTGAAAGAAATGCTTCCTTTTTGTTTACCACATAATTATGCCTATTTTTATGATGCTTGAATTTTTTTTCTTAGTGATAAATTGCTTCTGTTTTAAATTAAAGGCTGGCTTAGTTTTTATTTTAACTTTGGATGTGCTGAATACTTACTAATGTTGGGAGGTTCTGTAGTTTAGTAATAAAAGTCAAAATCTATGGGAATAGATTAAAGAGGCTACTAAAACATTGATAATTTTCTAAATAAGTTACTAAACTTATTTAAACTGTTTCAAAAATCATTTATTTTATAAAAATAATGCAAGGATATAAATTATTAAGATATTCTCATATTAAATTAGATATTTTACCCACTATCTTCACAATTTTTGGTGTTATAGGCTGAGACAGTGGCTTTTGCTTGTTTTTCTATACATTGTGTATGTGTGTGAAAAGAAGGAAGTTTGAGCCCAAAATCAATAATGAATATTAGGAAGTAAAACTACTTTAATGTTTATCTCTACAAGTAGATTTTTTTGTTGTTGTTGATGATGATTTTAAATTGAATTTATTGGGGCAACATTGGTTAATAAAATTATATAGGTTACAGTTATAATTCTATAGTGCATCATCTGTATGTCGTGTACAAGTAGGTGTTTTTGAACACACAAAAATCAGATCATTTTGAGATAGAGTTATTAAAAAATATATCAAAATGTAATTTCAATATTCTCCATGTCTCTGGAATAATGTGTCTACATTTTATGATCTGTGGTATATAGTCAGAATTTCTGGCAATGTAATAAGATAAAAGTTTAGCTTTCAAATAATAACCAGTAGTAAATGGCTCTGTACAGAGTTGGAAACAACTATCCCAATCTGCAGAAATAGTGTGTCTTGAAATATGAGCTGTTAGCATTTTGGGTTTTAATGAATTTTTAATCAATCATTTATCACTGTGATAGTAAAGAGCCAGTGTTTTAAAGCAGTATCTTAAAAATAGTGATGCTTAATGTCACAGCTTTTGATGTATGTATTGAAATTACAAACAATTCCAGTGTATAGTTTGCCTGTGAATATATATAGTTAAAAAAAAGTCCTTCTGCCCAGCAATCTTCCCCCCACCCCATTCAGTTTTATGTCCCAATACAGCACATATTTTACTTAATCCCGTTTAGCTCTCGGTTAAGATTGCAAGCTCTGGAATAAGACTCTGTGGGTTCAAATCTTGCCTCTACACAAATTTGCTGTGCAACCTTGAACAACTTTTTCATTGTGTCTGTTTCTTACCTGTAGCACCAACATCATAGGAATGCTGTAAAGATTAATAAGCAAGTTAATACTGTTACAATGCTTCAATTACTGCTTGGTATTTAGTAAGCACTTGAATGTTAGCTATCATTATTACCTATAATAATAAAAACATAATATGCTAATTAGACCGGACAGCCAGACGATCTTCCGGACGAAGCCAGGGCTCCAAGGGCCGAGGCAAGACACCGGCGGCTGCAAGGGCCGAGCCCCTTGCATGAATTTTGTGCATAAGGCCTCTAGTTTATATTCAGCTTCAAATAGTGCTTACAAATATTATTGATCTTTGTAACCCACACTTATTATGTGCTGTCAGAATTGCTAAATTGAAGGAATTTGTCTATTATACTCTAGTAAAAAAATTTTAAAAGCATAAAACTAAACATTTTAAACTTTAGAGCTATAAAATCTATTTTTATATCATTTCATGTTACTATTTTATCATGTTTATACACATTTAACTTGGGAAGTTAAATATGGTAATGTTTTCTTTTTTATTTTATCTTTTATAGGTTGTGTAAATCCACTTGGGGTCACTGTTCCATATACAATAAGAACCCACCTATAGGATTTTCTTTTAGAAAATTATATATGCAGCTGGATGAAGGCAGCCTCACCTTTAATGCCAATCCAGACGAGGTAAGTGAAGAACTTGAGTATTTGTAACAGTTGAACTTTATTACTTTCTTGCTGCAATTTTCCAATAAACTTGCAAGTAAAATCACAAGTCACTGCACGTGCCTTTTCAATCACTGCAAAGCCCAGTATTTGAGTTATTGCTATTTTTACTTTACCATGTCACGTTCTAATCTCTCTGCCTGCTCACTTTATATGGCAACTTCCATGACACATGCAGTCCTCTACTCGACCTGATTGAGATATTGGAGCGCATAAAATATGTTCATGGAAGTTTATTTGCAGAATTTTCTCCTTGATTTGTTTATATTTAATAACAATGCTACTACTTTTATCAAAAATGATCACAAAATACATTGTTCTAGTTTCCAACACATCAGAATGTTTTCTTTAAATAATGCCTTTAACAATCTAATTTCATTTGACATAGAAACTGCTTTTAGATTCTGTTATAATTGAATAATTTTGCATTCATAATTTAATTTTTTAAAAGACAATAAGCACAAACAGGAAAAAGGGAGAGTGGGAGAAGCAAGAGTAACTGCTTAATAATTAATTTTTTCTTAACATAATACATAGGAATGATCAAAAGACAATTCTTTCACTGACTTTTTCCCCTTCTGTTCTCATTTTAATATATCCTGGAAAGGTTCAAATTTTTAGATAGATACTTAAATATATACTAGATTTATCTTAGAAATCTAATATCAATTATAGAGCACTCAGAACTACTAGTTCTAGGTGTATTATTTTTTTGTGGAAAACCTTAACTGGCAGTTGTTTTAATTTATCTAATTTTTAAAACCCAACTTTTTGTTTTATTTGTTGTGAAAGTATTAAAGGCTATTTAAATCACACAAATATTTTTTAAATATCTTAACTTTTGCTTAATTATAATTAGAGAAATGCTTCTCCCATGCAAAATATTTAAATATTAAACAGAAATCCAAATTTTATAAATATGCATATAATACAAATGACACCATGTTTTTAAATTTAAATTGATTTTTGCTTGCTACATATGATTTCTTTCTTTGTTAATTTTTTTGTACATGAATGAAAAATAAAACATAACACCACTACAAAGGTTTGCCGATACATACACATTGTAAGTTGTCTTAGCCCCACAAATATAACAAAGCCTGGTACAAATATTTAAATTACGATATTTATTCTCTCTCTTCACCACTGTGTAAAGAGTTTTTATTTTTAATGAATGGCAAACTGATACTTTGTATGAAAGTAGGATGATTTATAAGTTAAAGTGCAAATTACATATTTGAAGTCAGTACTGGTTTTTATAAATTAATCATTTTAGAAGGCAAATGAGTAGATAAACTATTATAAATTTAGGTTTTGTAACTTGTCACTTTATTGCAATTATTTTCTGGTGCCATTATCATAAAATACACTTCTTTTACTTGTTTTTTTTTTTTTATCAGATTCAAATTCTATCTAAGTATATAGCAACAGATAGCATGTCACCTTTTTTATCTTGCACTATGAATACCTGCTCTGTACAAGAGATTTAACTAACCACATTATGTTTTTGAAGATTGGCATGGTTTCAAGACTTCATTATTTTTGTTTATTAGAATTAGGCATTACTTGATGCTAACTAAAACAGTTCATATGATGAACTTTATAGTAAGATATATTTCACATCAGTCTCTTGAGTTAATTGAATGATGATTACTGGAGAAGAACTGAAGCAGAATAATACAGTGTTTTACTCTAGATACTTAAGAATCAGGAAAGGAGGCTATTACAAGCCCCAGTCTTATTATGCCCAGTTTCTCAAGGCGTACTGGCTCCTGTCATGACTTATGCTGATGTTGAGTAAAACTGTCATCTTCAATTAATATTACTTGCAAATGTTACATTCTAAGGGAAATGTAACTTGGTAAGTACTGAGTTGTAGATTTACAAAAGTCAGAAAAGTTGGATGTAGCTATTGATATTGATTGTGGTAAGTAGTTATTTCTTGCTAAAGGAGTACCAATTTTTTAAACAAATTATAAAGCCATTCTTTTTATGCAAAGATGAAAATATAGATAGGTCCTTAAATACTAGAATGTGATGGATATTTTTAAATATGTAACTTGGAAAAGCTAGATGTTAAAATATAATCCTATCTTTGCAATACAGATGTTAGATTATGGAGTTCTTGTTATACCTCCCCTAGAGTGTTTGGAAGTGGGAGGGGGCAGAGAAAAGAGGCAAAATTAAAGTTATATTTTTTTTTATCTGACAAAAATTTTTAGTTTTAAGTCAAATGTTTGCTAAGAGAGGGATTGAAGTTATTAATTAAAGTAAGATTCTTAGATCTTCAGAGTTACTTATCCATCCTACCTCCCATTATTATTGAGAGTTGGCTGTATTTTCTTTTTCTTTACTCCCTGGCCTGATTTAAAGATATCCTGGAGCATTCCAGAAGTATTGAACTCCCTGTTCCGAAAGGGGCACATAGTGCTGCCAAGAGGCATAGAGCTGAACCATTCATAGTGACCTGTGGTTCCAGAATTCTGATTCTGTGCTTTTATGAACATCAGTAACTTAGCAGGTGTTGCCTAATAGCAAAATAGAATTCTGCCTTTACCTGAATGTACTTAGGATATAAATAGGCAAAGAAGGATATTGAAATGCACTTATAGGTGCAGAGAAATGAGGGGAAGTATTTTAATCACTATATTCCATATTTTCTTTCATTGATCAATATAAATAATTAATGTCAATTTGCTTGTTTTTCCAAGTCAGGCCTTCAGAATTTAAATCACGTAACTGAAAGGGATATCCAAATAGATGTTTTCATGTAGAATTTCTCTGTATGAGTCATACGTTAGTCATACTTAGAAGACTTTTGCCACGTTTTTTGAGAACGAAAAATTAGCACTTTTTGGAGGGTGATTTTCTTTTTCCCCCTCCTCACTGGAGCACTGTCATCAGATGTGTTATTTTGGCTTAGTTTAAGCCTAAGAAGTAAATTCGTTTTGATGATATGTTTAAATGTAAGTGGTGTTTATTGTAAGTACTTGAGATAAGATGTATATAATTGTTCAGTATTGTAAAAAAAAAAAATAGTCTACCTTTCCATAATTTCTAGTTCTCTACTTAAGATTTGATAGCAAGCATCATTAAAATATTATCAAAATAAGAATACTTACAGCCACAGGGAACAAGATTCTCCAAAGGACATCGTTCATGTCACGGATATGGGTAACCAAACTCCACAGCAACTGGGGTGGGGGAGAAGATCTGCACAGTCTGTGGTACGATTTATCTAGCACGCTATTGTTGTATGCATGCCATTGTGATCTCAGCTGGATGTAAAGTCTTGATCTTGTGCATGAGCTTGTGTACTTTGTGGCAGGTGACCACATTCTAGTAAAGGAATGTGCTAAAAACCATCTGTTTACATTAGGCTGTATTTCCCCTGCATGTATGAGTTCCGTGTGTTGATTTTATCCCACTAGCAGTATTGTAATAAAGTAATTTTACTTATCATCCAGTCAGCTATATTCCTTGTGCTCCATTTAATATTGAACATTTTCTTGATCTAGTTATTTTTAAATTTAGTCTGAAAAATTGATAGTGAACATGTTTCTTTAAACTCTATTATAGGTTTATTTTTGTCTAAGTATGTTTTTTAAAAGTTTTTAAACATAATAATCCTCATTGTGGTCAGCTATGAGAAGTCTTTATTTTTAACTATATCAGCACTTTTTTTTTCTGTGTTCATTTAAAAAGACCCACATGCATACAGTTTTATGCATTTTGTTAAATTGATCTGGGGTAGAACCTGTTGTGAGAAATATTTTAAATTTGACCTGTGCACGTGTTTTAGATGGAAATGCATAAGATAATTATTTTTAAGATAACATATTCTTTTTGTTGTTGGGCCAGCTAAAATATAATTAGGAAATTTGTAGGAGTTCTCCATTAAAGGAAGGAAAACAAGCGTTTATACTCAATTCTTATGAATAATATCTCAGATTAAATCTTACTGATTTTTTTCATTACCGTTACTTCATAGAATAGCAACAGTGATGAAAAAGAACTTTTATTTTTATTGCTAGAGATAGAAAATCTTGATTTGGTGTCAGAATTTACAAATAAGCATGTATTCTTTGGCAGTTAGATGAAGGTATACTTTGCATAATGTCTGATAGCATAAAGAAAGAAAGGCAAACTAAACTTCCTAAATTCTTAGCTTATGTTATAAATGGAAATATATTTAGGAATAATTTATCCTCAGTGCTCTTCACTTTGCTGCTCTACTCAGTCTATGTCACATTTTATGATCTGCTACCTGCAGTACCCATTTCTCCCTGTATGTGCCAGCTAGGGTGTTTGGGGCTTGAAGGACCGGAGAACCTAACTAATAATGGCTTAAGCCATATACATGTATTTACTTCAAATGACACCCAAAGATGGGTATCCCATTCTTGATAACAAGATGGCTACCGCTGCTCAAAATATCTCATTCTCATATGAAAATACCCTCAGCACAAAGAAGGCAGTCAAAGAACTCAAATTCCTTCTGCTTATTGGGGGAGGGGAGTCTTTTTCAGGAGCCTCCAATGTACTTGTGGTCATTTCTTATGAACAGAACTGAAATCAAATGTACACCCCTAGAACAACAGAGAACAGAATAGAAAGGATTACATGACTGACTAAACTTAACATGATTTAGTAACTGTGACTGAGATGCTAGAAGCAATGAAAAGAGCGAAATGGCCTTTGGGCAGGCATCCAGGCATCTGCAGCACTATTTTTTACTAGTGAGCCACTTGGAAAATTTGTAATTCTGCTTCCCTTATTTCTGGACTCTGCTGGTTTAGAGGCCTTAATACCCAAAGGGGGAAATATTGTAAGAGGTACAATTCCAATTGGTTGCTGAAACTACCTTCTGGCCATATTAGGTCCTTCTGCCACTGAGCAAACAAGCCAAAACAAGACCAAACAAACAAAAAGGCTGTGAGGGTAGGTAATGATGCTGTGGT